AGAATTTTGGTGCCACGGCCCTTGGCCTCTGTTGGAATCTTCAGCGGCCACACTGCAAATCCTGTGTGGTGCTGTCCTGCTTCCTGAGGAGCAGGGACAGGGGCAGAGGGGCTCCTGTCCCCCCGGCTGCGTCCTGAGCAATATCCCACTGAGCCTGATCCCTGGAACGCGGCGAGGAGGGAGCCTCTTGTCTCTGCTGCCCAAACTATGCAGGTGCTCACTGCTCCCCTGTGCCGCAGGGAGGAGGGAGGAAAGGGCAAAACAATTCCCCAGCCTCTTCTGGGGGTCCCCAGCCCCCCGACCCACACTGTGTGGACACGAGGTGTCAGCACCTGCCCTGGGAGATGCCAGGGTGGGATTGCTCCTGGTGCTGCACGTCCCCTGCCGAGGAGGAGGAGGAGGAGGAGGAGGAGGAGGAGAGCTCGGAGGGGACGCGTGTCTGTGTCTGTCTGTCTGTGCGTAGCAACCCTGTCTGAGGGGAGGAGAACAACTCTGTGTGGCTTCCCTGCCAGTTTTAGTCCGTGGTGTCTCACCCAAGATGTTCTTTGTCTGCATTCCCAGCAGAGGAGCATCCCAGACAGGGGGCTCCGGGCTCTGGGGGTTTTTCCCAGCAGGGTCAGGCAGAAGCCCCTGCCCTGATTTGGGGGCAGAGGCTGCCTTGGCCTCCCTGCTGGGCACACCTGGTCCAGATCCATGTCCAAGCGTTGTCACTTTGATTTCTCTGTAACTTATCCGACTTTATTTATGTGGAACTCTGTTTCTCTGAATTTTTTGCACTACATGGGACTGGGGAGGGGATACAAGCAATAGAAGCCAACGTGTACAATAAAGACATTTTCTTGGATACCGGATCCTGCCTCATGCATCCTTGACTCTCCCTTCCCTCCCCTGGCTGGCTCCTGGGGCTGCTCCTTGCTTGCCCCAGGCAGAGGGTGCACTGCTCCACATCTGCCTGAGCAGCCAGGGGAGGTTCAGGTTGTGTCCGGGGAGGGTTTGGGATGGAGCTCAGGGAAAGGTTCTTCCACAGAGGGTGTTGGGCACTGCCCAGGCTCCACAGGGAAGGGGTCCCAGAGCTCCAGGAGCTTTTAGACAGCTCCTGGGACAGGGTGGGGTTCTTGGGGTGTCTTGACAGGGCCAAGTGTTGGACCCTGATCGAGTGGATCCCCTGTGACTTGGGATGTGACTCCATGAGATCTCATGTGCCTGGGTGCAGGCTTTGAGGCGTTTGCTCAGAACTCCCATCTGGAGCCCAGCTGGGACTGGCCCTGCTGGGGCGGGGGGTGTTGGTAGAGGAGGCCAGAGGGGCCCAAACCAGTTTGGAAGGCTCTGCCGTGGCACAGCTGAGCTAAAAGGAGCAGCTTTTTGCCAAGTCCCAACCCCAGACTCAGCTGAGGGTGTTGGGGGCCTGGGTGGGTGTGGGGGGTTTTGTATTCCCAGCAGGGATTTTGTGGTGGGAGTGTCCCCACTGTGTCACCCTTCCCTTTATCCCAGAGAGAACGTGCTGGAGACCTCGGGGAAAAGCCCCAGCCCCAGAGGCTCCAGAGCTGATTTCCACCATCACAGCCCACTTTGGCCTCCCCAGGAGTTCCTGCCAGCTCGCCCTGCAGCAGGAACCAGGCCAGGAACCCCCTCCAGCTGCCCCCTCAGCCCGGCCCCATGGCTGGGGACACAGGGATGGCCCCATGGCTGGGGGCACAGGGATGGCCGCATGGCTGGGGGCACAGGGATGGCCGCATGGCTGGGGACACAGAGATGGCCCCATGGCTGGGGACACAGGGATGGCCCCATGGCTGGGGACACAGGGATGGCCCCATGGCTGGGGACACAGAGATGGCCCCATGGCTGGGGACACAGGCCCCATCGTGCTTCCTGAACTGCTGGCCCAGGAGGGGAACGCTGAGGCCATTTCATGGGGCAGGGGAATGCTGAGGACATTTCATGGGAGGGGAATACTGAGGCCATTTCAGAGGGAGGGGAACACTGAGGCCATTTCACAGGAAGAGAACGCTGAGGCCATTTCATGGAGGGGAACCTGAGGCCATTTCACGAGGGGGAATTCCGAGGCCATTTCACACTGCAGCCATTTCACACTGTGGCCATTTCACACTGAGGCACATTTCACACCGAGGCCATTTCACACCGAGGCCATTTCACGGGCAGGGCCCGCAGGAGCTGCGGGGCACCAGCCCTGAGGCCTGAGGGGGAGCCGGAATGCCTGGCCTGGCTGCAGCCCGTCGTGTGCCCTTTCCTGCTGCCCCTGCTCCTGCCTTGGCTCCTATAAATAACTGAACGCTCTAAAAGCATTCCTGGAGTCCAGAGGCTGTTTCCCAACAATTCAGGCTCTCCTGGAAGCAGAACTGTGGGCTCTGGGAGAGCTTTGTGCCCTCACGTTGGTGGCGGGCCTGTCCTCAGCCACTGGTGGAATGCCTTAAGTTTTAGCTTTCAGATTTTCCACATTCTCTGCTGCATTGGTTTGCTGAGCTTCATATAAAGTGTCAGCAAGTTCTCCTACAGCTCAGGCACACAGAACAATCCTTTTCCAGCCCAGAACCAAGGACACTGCTGCAGCTTCAGGCCCAAAAAGTGCCAACAACAGGAGAGCAAAGTGGGAGGATGGGACTGCACAACCTGGAGCTGGAATTGGACAATGAACCCCAATATGGAAATGGACTCAAACTTATCAAAGTCTGAAAACTCATGACTTGGAGTCCATCCTGGGTGTAGCCACAGCCAGGCTCCTGTACTGCCCAAGGTGTACCCTGTGAAGGGCTTTAAATAAATCCCCACTTTATTCCTTTAACTCTGTCTAGCCTTCAACTTCCTTTATTTATTTTAAACCCACTTTATTCCTCTAACTGTGTCTAGCCTTTAACTTCCTTTATTTATTTTAAAACCCACTTTATTCCTTTAGCCCTGCCCAGCCTCTGTTCCAGGTCAGCCTCTGAAGGCAGCAGTGCCAGCTGGCCCTGCCAGCCCTGCTGGTGTCACTGCTGTCCCAGGGAGCAGCAGGACCCGTGACAGCAACAGGAGCTGCAGCAGCAGCAGCACTTGTGTCCCTGCTCTGAGCTGGAGGTTTTATTTAGAACAAACCAGAGGAACAGCACGTTTGTGGTCACAGCCTGACCGTGTTAGCCACGGGTCCGAGGAGGAATCACACTTTTCTGCACAAAACACAGCTGGGGCTGTTTGCTGCAGTGTCTGATCTCGGCCAGGAGGTGCTGGGCTGTTGCTGTGCTGTTTCCCAGCGGTGCAGAGAGCAGCTCCTGCCATGAAAATCATGGAATTTGTGGTGGGGGCCCTCCGGAGGGGTGTCCTGGTGCTGTGCTGGGCCAGAAAGGGTTAATGGATTCTGGGCACAAAGGGGAGGGGGATAATGGAGCTGCTTTTAAAGGTCAGAAATGGGGAGAAATTCTATGGCACACCTGTTCTCAGCTGCTCCCTCCTGGCGAGTGTGGCCTGACCGTGCAATCCCTTTTTGGGGAATATTTTCTTTCTGCAAGTGTAAAACCACCACAAACGGGAACAGTCCAAGACAGCCTGTGTGTCTATCACAGCCAGATTCCAACAGATTCTCCAGGAGAACCTTCTAAAATAACCCGTAGATTTGTCACACCACATCCTTTATGGTGTTTCTTACATCACTGTTATTTATGTTCACTAAATCTGAATTTTTTTCAAACATGCCATCAATTCAATTAGTTTTGACAAGATCTGATTTCCACAGTCCCATGTTGATTTGTATTAATTATATTCTCCTCCTGTAATTCTCAAAGTTAATCCAACTCCCTCACAGCTGTTACATCATTTTCCCAGGAATTACTGGCAACTGGCAACCCCATAATTACCAGGGTGGTTTTTTACCCATGGAAACACTGATATCCCTGTTAAATTATGCAATTTCTTTGCAAATTCCGTAGTCCTGCTAGACTGAATTGCAACAGTGACTCAAGCCCTTTGTGTTCAGCTCTTTCAAACTTTCTGATGTGAATGCTCTCTACTTTTTGATCCAGAGCATTCTTTTTGTGTTTACTTCTTAGCAGCCACCTGAAAATGGAAAGGGTTTCTCGTTTCCTATGGGTGTAATTCCTGAGGGTTTTTTTCCAGCACAGAAATATTGAGTCTGCATTTACCTTTTGTCATGAACTTCTCATTTTTATTGCTTATATTTCCATGTAGTGAGGCACTCACAGCATGGTCAGAAATCTTCAGTTTGCTTCCTTTTAAAGCATTTCTTCTACAAATATTATTTTTTTGCTGCTCATGCACATCTCCTTTTGCTCTTTGTTCCCTTGATCCATCTCCTATCATTTCTAGATTTTGGTTAGTGTCCCGTTTGATATTTTTTTCCCATTTTATTATTATATCTTTAACCCCACTGGGAAGGGGGAACCCTTTGGAACCCTTCAACCCCAGGGATTTTTGTTAATGCTTAAACAAAAACCACCGACTTTATCTCGCTGCATCCTTATCTCCACTTGGTGCAGCGGCTGAATTCCATTTGGGAAAACGCTGCGGGATGGGTTTGTGGGGACAGAATTCCTTTTGGGAAAACGCTCTGGGATGGGTTTCTGGGCAGAATTCCTTTTGGGAGAACACTGTGGGACGAGTTTCTGGGAAGAATTCCATTTGGGAAAACGCTGCGGGATGGGTTTCTGGGCAGAATTCCTTTTGGGAAAATGTTCCAGGATGAGTTTCTGGGCAGAATTCCTTTTGGGAAAACGTTCCCGGTTGGGTTTCTGGGCAGAATTCCTTTTGGGAGAACGCTGCGGGATGGGTTTCTGGGCAGAATTCCATTTGGGAAAACGCTCCTGGATGGGTTTCTGGGCAGAATTCCTTTTGGGAGAACGCTGCGGGATGGGTTTCTGGGCAGAATTCCATCTGGGAGAACGTTCCCGGTTGGGTTTCTGGGCAGAATTCCATCTGGGAAAACGCTCCCGGTTGGGTTTCTGGGCAGAATTCCTTTTGGGAGCATGCTCCGGGATGGGTTTCTGGGCAGAATTCCATCTGGGAGAACGCTCCGGGATGGGTTTCCCGGCGGCCGCAGCTCCCCGCGCCGGTGGCTCGGGAATGCCGGCGGCTCGGGGTGAATTCCCAGGAACAGGTACCTGGCCCGCCCCTCCCAGCCCCGGGGCGGGAGCGAGGGGCAGGATCGGCTCTGGGCTCTGCCCACACCCACTCGAGTCCCGGCGGGCGGAGAGGAGCGGCCGGAGCGATCCCGCAGCGATCCCGCAGCGCTCCCGCAGCGCTCCCGGCATGGGGAACATCGCCTGCGTGCCGCAGGCTCCCGGCGGCTTCAGGAGCTCCTTCCGAAGGAAAGCCTCGCTGAAGAAGGAGTGAGTAACCCCCTCCGGCTCTGGGATGCGGGAGCGGGGCTGGAGCTCCTGCGGGATCTCTCCCGCTGGGGATTTCCTGTCTCCGGAGGTTTTGGGGGTGCTGGGCGCTGCCAGAGCCCGGCACCAGCTCGCCCCGAGTGCCGGGGATGGAATTCTCAGCCGGCAGGGAACGCCAGTCCTCGGGAGAAGCACCACTGAATTAATTTTTGTTTGGGTAATTAAGTTTCCCCCGGCGGGCCAGGGTGCAGAACACCTGATATTCCCTGTTTTCACTTGTGAGTGTTCTTATTCACAGTTGTGGTACTGTTGTCAGAAAACAACATTCCCACTCCTCAGGCTTTAGGGAAAAAGCCTCAAAATCCCAGTACCCCGCCGTAGGATTTGTGTTTGTAAACCCAAAGGAGCAGCAGCGGAAAATCTCAGTGAAATCTTTTGGGGATTTGGGTGCTGGGCTGGCCAGGGCAGCACTCAGGTACCGTGGCCGTGGGTGGCTGTCCCTATTTTGGGACAGCCAGGGAATGCAGTGCAGCTTCCCAACTTTCCCACTGCTCCCATCAGCACGTCCAGAGCTGGAAAGAGCTCTGGAGGGAACGAGGTGATTCCTCATGAACCTGTCTGTGTTGGGTTCAGTGTCGGGGGTCAAAACCCTGAAAAAAACCCCCAAAACCCCCCAAAACTCTGCCAGGCCAAGGGGTTTCTGATTGAAAGGAGAGCCTGAACTCCCTTGGTGTCCTGTGCTGCCAGAAATCAGGGGCAAACCTGTAGGAGTTCCTGTGGGGTGAAAGAGAGGGGTAAAACATCCCTTGGGGTGTTTGGGGTAAAAGAGAGGGGATCCCTCAGGGGTTTGGGGTAAAAGAGAGGGGATCCCTTGGGGGTTTGGGGTAAAAGAGAGGGGATCCCTTGGGGTGCTTGGGGTAAAAGAGAGGGGATCCCTTGGGGTGCTTGGGGTAAAAGAGAGGGGATCCCTTGGGGTGCCTGGGCTCTGGGGATCTCACATCAGGGTGCTGTGGTGGAGCAGCCAAGCCCCAGAGCTCCTCCTGTCCCACTGACTCCCGGCTTCTCATGCCCGTGGGGATCCTCCTGGTTTTCTGCTGCAATCTGAGGAAGTCCCAGCACTTCCCAGCAGCACCAGTGGCTGCCTGGGACTGGTGTGCAGCCAGGGAGAAACGGGGAGTGGAGGGAAGGGAGAGGGAAGCCACCAAGGCAGAAATGAGCCCTCCCTGTGAATATCTGCCACAGATCTGTGCGGATCCATCCCCACTCCAGGGGCTCTCCAGGAGCTGTGTTTGATTTTTGTGCTCTGCCATGGAACATCCAGTCCCTGTGCTCATTTGGGGGCACAGATGAGCGAAGATGATCATTTGGCTGACCAGAGAGCTGTAAAAAAGCAGAAAAACCCCAACAAATGCAGCAAAATCCCATTCCAGTTCTCCAAGGCTTTGTCAGCCCTGGCTGGGTTGGGATGACTCGAAAGCTTGTGACAAATTGCTTGCTTGGTGTCATGGCTTCCTTATTTCTGGGCAGGATTCACCATGCCTCAGCCTGGATCTGTGTTTCCATGTGTGTTTTGGGGTTTTTCTCCCCTTCCCTCTGTAGACAAAATGGCAAGAAAAAGCTGCCCAGCTTCTTTGGGATAGATGGAGGCCAGGAGAGAGACACGACCACGGACAAAATCCTGCAGTATATTCCAGCCAAGGCAAGTTCCAGCACCTCCAACGCCCTCCCCACTGCTCCGGGGGTTTCTTCCCACCCGCCCCAAGCGCAGCGTTCGGGAGGGACGCTGGGTTTGGGTCTGGGGGCAGCAGCAGCCCGTCCCAAGGAGATCCCAGGAAGGGATGAGCCCCTCCCAGCAGCCAGTGCCCGTGCAGGTGTGGGGGCACCTGGCTCGGCCAGGGGTGCTGCAGCAGGGACACGGGGACATGGGGACATCTCCGCCACACCTTTGCTCTGGCTTCTTTTGTTTCTGGGTCGGCTGTGAGGGGAGGGAAAAGGCGAGCGAGCTTTGGCAGGTGAGGTGATTCATTCCCACGGAGCAGGAGCCTGGGAAGGGAATCAGGAAGGGCAGGGCTGCCCCGGGCACGGCCCAGCCCTGTGGCCACATGGCCCCGTTCCAGCGCTGCTGGGGGAAGCAAGGGGAGCCAGCACCCCCCAGGCCTTGGTGGGTCCCCTGGGTGCGCCAGAGGTGTGGGCAGAGTTTGGGGAGCATCTGGGCGTTCATCCATCCCAGCTGTGTGCACGTAGGGAAGGGGAAACTGAGGCACAGCCTCAGTGCTAGGCAGAGGGAATTGCAGGGAAGGCTCCCTGTGGGAATCAGCTGGATCCAAAAGGATCAGGCAGCAAAAAGCAGGCCCCAGCTGGATCCTGGATTCTTCCCTGGGGAAGCAGGATGAGCTGTCAGACTCAGTGGGTCCTGGGGAAGGAATCCTGGCAGAGGAAGGAATTCTCCCAGGATTCTCCCAGGAGAATGGGGAATGGGAATGGGAATGGAGCTGGGAATGGAGCCGGCCCATCTGGGAGCCCCAGGGAGCGCAGGATCTCTCCAGGGATGGAAGGAAGGAGGGTGGAGCAGCTTTTCAGCCTTTAGCCTGGCCTGAGGCAGAGGGGATGCAAACTCCAGGCTCAGCCACAAGCTCGCTGTGTGGCCTGCAGGAAGCCTGGGCTTTGCCCCTCTCTCCCTGCTGTTTTTGGCAGCAGCAGCAGCTGCAGGGCCGGCTCAGAGCCGAGCTGCCAACGCAGGGCAACCTCAGAGGAGATGGCATCGCCGCTCCTGAGCCCACCTGGGACCGGGGCAGGTGACATCCCTGCGCCCTCTGGCACCCCAGCAGCCCCTGCCCCGATTCCCAGTGCCAGGCAGGGGGAGGATGTGCCCCAGGAGCCCTGGTTCGGTGTTTTCCCATGAAAGAGCAGCCCCGGGGCTGCCGCTGTGCTGGGCTCTTCCTGCTGCTGATTCACCGGGGCTCGGGGGCTGCAGGCCCGAGCAGTTAATGAGTAACTCGTTCTACCTGTAGGATGAGAACATGTCAGGGCACTTGCGGCTCGGGAGGAACCGGGTCTGCAAGGATCGGCGGCGCTGGGATAACGGGAATGGCCGGGATGGGGCTGGAGGAGGGCGCACAGCCCAGGCTGGGCAGGATTCCAGAGGGCAGGAAAACGCCAGGCTCCTTCAGCTCCTTCAGCTCCTTCAGCTTTATCCCCGTGCCGTGGGAGCTGGAAGGGCAGCAGATTGCTGTGATCCCGTTTTTCCGTGGCCCTGGAGCTGCTCCTGTGCTCAGCCATGGCATCCATCTCCCCAGGCTCACTGCCACCCCTCCCGGGCTTGCTTGGTGAGGGAAATATTCCATTTGCTCCTTGCCACGCGAGTGGCTGTGGAAGCTCTCCCTCTCCCTCCTGCCTGCGGGAGGGTCCCTCTGGAAGCTCTTTCCCAGCGCTGCTGCTGCTTTCCCAGCTCCCAGGCTGCTTTTCCTTCTCGGTGCCTTGTTCATTCCTGGGAAATTTGGCTGCAGCAGCAGTGCCCCGGCAGCTGGTGGCTGGTGCTGTTCCTTATCTCCGAGCCCATGATTTTATCACTTCACCCTCTCCCCACTCCCAGGTGCTGCTGGTGCCCTTATCCTGTGTTTTGTTATTGCTGTACCCGTGACCAGCTGCTCTTTGCTCTGCATTTGTGACACAAATACCATTTTTCCTACGCTGAGCTGTCCCAGTGAGACACTTACTGGGCACACAGCATGTTCTCTAAATTCTGTTCCATAGCTGGGAAGTTGGAGGGAGGATTTCAGCAGGAAAGGGTTAACTTGTGTCCTAAAAACAACACTCCAAATTCAGCGAGGGCCTGGAAGGAGCCCTGTGCTCTGCAGGTGAAAGGGTCATGACCACTTTCGGCTCCATCCCCATTTCCCCAGCTCCATTCCCAGCCCAATTCCCGGTTCCCGGGGCTGTCTGGAGTGGGCTTAACCTGATGCAACCACTGCAAACCTCCCCTGGCCCAGCCACTTTTGGCTTGGAAGGAATTCCCAGAGCCTGGATGTGCCCAACCAAGCTGAGGTGCAGGCGGGTGTGGAGCTGGGGGGATCAGTGCTCAGTGCCCTCCCCTTGTCCCCAAGGACACCAGCCTGCCCTGGCTCTCCTGTGGTGCTTCCAGTAGGTTTTTGCAGGAAAAATCTGCCTTGCAGCTGCTTTTGCCCCAGAACTGTCTGGCAGCCAGAACGCAGAGAAAACGAGGGATCTGAGTGGGATCTGAGTGGGGTCTGAGTGGGATCTGAGTGGGATCTGAGCTGGGAGAGCTGAGGGATCCAGGCGGAACCCGAGCAGAGGAAACCTCTCCACTCCCCCCCATGGAAGGCACACTCAGGGCGCACTGGGATGGTTCTTCTGTGGAGCTGGGACACCCTGAAAGTGAAATGTGCCTCTGCCCCCCCTTTTCCAGCCCAGAAGCCCCAGCTTTAGGTCAGGATCTCCTCACAGGCTCCCAGCAGCAACCGAGCCCCGGCCCCACGTTGGCAAGGAGACCCAACAACAAACAGCCCATCCTGGGCACCTGCCCAGGGCGCCTTTCCCAGGAATCCCTGCTGGGAAGATGTTCTGGGAATGCCTCCTCCTCCAGCTCTCATCTGCTTTTCCCTCAGTACAGATTATTCAGAAGCAGGAAAACCAGAAGGAAAACTTGGACCAGAGGTTCCCCAGCCTCTTCAGGAAGGGTCGAAGGAAAACGGTTGTCAGGAATTTGGGCAAAATGATTTATTACTCCAAGGTCAAGTTTAAGTTCCAGCACTGCCAGGTAAACCTGAGGCACCTCTTTGTGAGGGGTTTCTGTGCCCAGGGATGGGGAGTAATTGGGAAGGGAGGAGAAATTCTGGGAAATGGGATCATGGAGAATTCCCTGGGCTGCTCTGGGCACTGCCACGTGGTGCCCACTGCTCCCATCCCTGTGGGCACCTGGGACACTTCCATCAGCACAGATGTGGCCTTGGAGAAGCTTTTCCGTGCCTGGGATGTGGAGGGAGGCTGGGAGGTGTCCTGGGATAACCCCAGAGGTGTCCTGGGATAACCCCAAAGGTGTCCTGGGATAACCCCAAATGCTCCCTTCTGCAGGAGGTCAACAGCTGCTTCCTGGAGCTCTTCCAGTCCTACCTGTACTTCCAGTCCACGGCTCCCAACGGCCTCACCTACCAGGTAGGGCCTCACCTGGGCAAGCTGGGCTTTGGGCACCGTGGCCACGCTGGGGGCACCGACGGGCAGACAAACTCCTGGAGATGTCCCCAAGTCCCTTCCCAGGGATTCTGAGCTCCAAAAGGGTGCTTTGTCCCAAAGCCTGTCCCCAGAGCAGCTCAGGGTCACCTGGGCCAGGGGTGCAGGAGCCCAGGGACAGGCAGGAGGTGACCTGGAGCCACCTTTGTGCTGAGCAGCAGGCACAGCGAGCTGAGCCTTGGGAAAACCCAAATCCCCCCGGCCTTGGTGCCCACGGGGGTCTGGGGGAGTTCTCCATCTGCAGGATGAGCTTTTCCGACATTAATTATTCTGTGGGAGAAGGGGGGAAGAGAAAGCTGAGCCTCGGGGAGCTCTGCTGGCAAACCGCTCATGAATCTTTTAACCTGGTGGTGCTGGGGAGTTGCAAATAATGAATGAACTGTTCTGCACCACAGCCAAACAGCCACAGCTGTGGAACAACAAACCCTGAATGTTCTCTTCCTCCACACAACTGAGGAACTAAAACTGAGCATGTTTGGGAGGTGATTGTAAAGTTAGTTCCTCTTAGAAATGATTAATTAGCCTTTAGGTGACTTGAGGTTGGTGTAAAACATCAGGAAAACCTCTCCAGTCACCCCCAAGGCAGCCTTCAACTGAAAATTCCCATGTCAGGAGACAAACAACATGTCAAACTCTCCTGACTCCTTTAGAAACAGCTCCCGAGTTTATTAATTGAGGAGGAATTAACAAGGAATTAATGTGCCCCAAGGCATTAGAGCCATTAGCATCTTTCATGGGGGTGGTTTAGGGAGCTCAGAGAGGGAGGACAGAGTTGTCACCTGTTCCTGGGCTTTGGCAGAGAGGGAACCTGAGCAAGCCCGGGAACTGGGCAGCTTCATTTTCCTTTAGGGCCAGTCCCGTTTTCTGCCTTTCTCCTGTTAAATCCCCACTATTTTGCTGAGGTTTCTCTTAAAATGAAAGCGAAGAAGCCCCGTGGAGTGTAAAGATAGTGCCAAGCATGGCAGAGGATGGAGCCCGGAGTAAGCCCTGCTCTCCCTCCGCAGGGGCTGCTGCCTCTGAAGGAGCTGGAGGTGCGGGAGCTGGGCGCTGGGCACAGCCCCGGGCAGCAGGACCACGCTTTCCACATCTCAGGTGGGTCTGGGGAGCCCGGGGAGGGGGCCTGGGCTGGGTCTGCCCCGTCAGGGAGCTCCTGCCGCAGCCCCAGCGTGTGCCCGGGGTTCCTTTCCTCATTTTCTCTTCCTTCTGGGCCCTCTTTGGATGTGGCACTGAGTGATGCCCTCGGGGTGTGCCCAGGTGAGGGTCACGCTGAGGATCAGCACCACTCCCGCTGCTTTAATTTGCATTTCTGACTGGGGTGGATGCCCAGGGAATGCCCCAGAGCAGCATCACACCGGGAAAGCGAGGCAGGAGGAAACAGGAGAGCCCCACGGCCACGCGGATGCCCAGAAAATGCGTGACACCAAATTGCTGTCATGGGTTTGGAGTCACTCGGGAGTTTCTGCCACAGTTCCCCAGCTCAGCTTTGTTTACCCTGCATTTCCTGCAAGACAGACGCACTTGAAAGGCTCCGCGAAACGTTGTTTGTAAATAATGCAGGAATTAGGGCACTAAAGATACCTCAGAAGGGCAAAGTCCTGTGTGGGCTTATCTGGGCACCTCCAAGTCCCACGGAGGCAGATCCTTGGAGGCTGCAGCGAGCAGGGTTTAATACGGGTAAATGATTAATCCCAACATCCACCCTGCATGCTGCCAGGAGTGGTTATTGCCCCCGGCAGGCTGTGCTGGGAGCCGGTAGCAGAGGGCGTGGGAGGCTGTGCCCACGAGAGCTGCAAACTGGAAAATCAACAAGCTGCAGGGCTGTCCCTCCCTGCCAGGGGATGTCTGGAGTCCTCCTCAGCTTGGCTGGCACGGGTTAGACTCGGTGAGGCAATAAATAAACAAACAGTGCCAGAAAGCTGCCGGTGTCCTACATCTGGAGAGCCAGGCTGGAACTGGGAGATAAACGGGCTTTCTGCTGAGAGAGCAGCACCTCGGGACAGTCCCTGCCCACAGAGAGGCTTCCCAAAAACTGCTGGGGGGGCTTGAAAGCTGAAATCCACCTCTGGAGGTCAGGCTTGGCTTTTGGGCTGACTTTGGGATCTGTTAAAAAGTTAAAAAGTGCCTGGTGGTCAGGGCTTGGTGTGTCTGAGAAGGGGCTGGAACAGTCTGGGAAGGCTGAGGTGACAAAAGGGTGGCAGGGAGGGCTGGAGGGGGGTGGCAGCAGGGCAGGGGTGTCCCCACACCCGAGGAGGGCTGTGCAGGGTGGCAGCTCTGCCATCAGGGAGGTGGCAGCAGGGCAGGGGTGTCCCCACACCCCAGGATGGGCTGTGCAGGGTGGCAGCTCTGCCAGCTGACCCCCGATGGATGCTGCCATCCCTGCCCAGCTCTGCTCCACTCACCGTGGGTCTCCCACCCCCAGGGCCCCTGCTGAACCCCCTGGTGGTGTTCTGCCCGTCCGAGGCCGAGCTGAAGCAGTGGCTGTACCACCTGGAGAAGCAGATCCAGCTCTGTGGAGGGAGCCTGGCCTTGCCCCTGCTGGCCCAGGTGGGTGTCCCACGGCCGTGTCCCACCGCTGGCTCCCAGCTGGGACACGGGTGGCTTCCCTTGGAGGGGAACAAAGGGTGCAAAAGGAGCTTGCCCGAGGGGTCTGAGAGCCACGGGCAGGCGGGATGTGCTGGGAGGAAGAGCTGCCACCCACGGGTGCCACCAGCAGCACAGCCTCCGTGGGGTCAGAGCTTGGGGCTGCCTCAGAGCAGCTCTCACGCTTTTGGGCGCTTGTGCAACCACCCAGAGCTTGCAAAACATCAGGAGGGGGAGGCTGAAGCCTAAAAAACAGAGAGAAATTGTCTCTCCCAACCTCTGAGGGTGTTTTAATTCCCTCCCCACTTGTCAAACAGAAATATCCCCCTTGGAAAGGCATTTCCAGGCGGTGCTGGGTGTGGAGAATGACAATGCATTCCCAGCTGGAACACTGCCTCCTGCCCAGATTTCTCTCTCCTTTCCTGCTCCTGGCACGCCAGAAGCGTGTCCCAGGCGGGGCAGGCGGTGCCCGAGGCGGGGCAGGCGGTGCCCGAGGCGGGGCAGGCGGGTGGTCAGTGTGTGCTGTCCCTAGAGCGGCCGGACGCAGAGCGCCGGGGACAAGGAGGGGCTGCGCTGGTCCCTGCAGAACCTGCCCGTGCAGGACTGGAGAGGCACCCAGCGGGAATCCCTGGGAGAAATCCTCTGCGTGTCCAAGGTGAAGCTCCAGCACCTGCCCTTCCAGGTAGGACACGGCCCTGGGAGGGAGGGAGGGAGGGAGGGAGGGAGGGAGGGAGGGAGGGAGGGAGGGAGGGAGGGAGGGAGGGAGGGAGGGAGGGAGGGAGGGAGGGAGGGAGGGAGGGAGGGAGGGAGGGAGGGAGGGAGGGAGGGAGGGATGATGGATGGATCCATGGATGGAGTCACTGGTGCATGCTCCATCTCTGAGCAGAGCAAAGCAGCCTGGCCCTTCCCAAATCCATCTCTGAGCACAGGGAGCAGCCTGGCCCTTCCCAAATCCATCTCTGAGCACAGGGAGCAGCTCAGCTCAGCTTGCCCTCGCCCCAGGCTGCTGTCAGCAGGACAAAGCCCGGGGCTCTCCAGCTCTGAGCCCTGGCTGTCCCCAGGGATCCAACCCTCTCCCTGTCTGCTTCCCAAGGAGCAGCACGACCGGCTCCTGGTGCTCTACCCCTCCACGCTGGTGATCGTGTCCGAGGAGCCCGGCGGCCTCTGCTTCAAGGTGAGTCCTGCTGTCCCTACCCGCGTTTCCCTGCTCCTGGTGTCCCTCCCGTGCCAGCTGGCAGGGAGCAGCTCAGGGATGGAGCAAGATCCCTTCCCATGAGAAGCACCCTGCCCTCCCCAGCAGCCCAGGGGGAAGGGGCTGCCTGCCAAGGAGTCTCTGGGAGAGGAGGAGGAGGAGGAGGGAGGCTGTGCTGGCAGGGAGCCCGGCCCTCCTGCTGCAGACAGGAGCTGGCATGGCCCCAGAGTGCCCCTCAGGGGGCTTTGCCCCCCAGGCTCTGTGCCCCGGGACCACTTTGGAGCTGGGAGCAGCCTGGCAGCGCAGCTGATGCCGTGGGGAAGGGCTCGGGAGGGGAGGGGAGCTGAGGGGAGGGGAGGGGAGGCTGCTGCTGGTGCAGCCTGGCAGCGTTCTCCCTCTGCGGAGCAGAAGGGACAGCAGGGACCGGGAGCACCCCAGGGATGCCAGAGCAGCTCCTCTGCTGTGTCTGCCTGTGGGAGCAGCGCTGGAGCCGCAGCACAGGCAGGCAGCAGCACTGAGCACTCAGAATGGCCCTAAAATCACCCAGTGACATCCCCGGTGGCACTTGGGGACACCGCAGGGCTGTGCTGGTTAATGGCTGGGCTCGGTGGTGCCCGAGGGCCTCTCTGCCCTTTCCTTCCCGTGATTCTGTGATCTCGAGCATCACTCCGAGCTCTGTGCTCCTCCCGTGCTGAACCAATGTGCCAAAAGCGGCGGTGACCTGTCTGTGACCCGGAGCTGCTGCTCTGCTGCATCCCTGAGTCACCGAGGCAGGGACAGCAGCCCTGGGGAGCTGCAGGGCTGTGAAATGCACCACGAGCCCCTGGGGCCCTGCTCCACGCGGCTCTGCATCCTGCAGAACGCTTTCAGATTATCCCTGGGAAGGGCATCTCCCGGAGGCTCCTTCCCGGAGCAGGGCCGGCAGCGGGCAGAGCTCTCCCCACGCCGGGGCAGCTCTGGATGACATTTTCCAGCGGCACAGCCTGGGTTGGCAGTGTGCTGTCTGCAGCTCCTGGGATGGGGCACCGCGCCAGGGCCCTGGGCTGGGCTCCCGTGAGCTCATCTCTTTTGAAACCCTAAACCTGCCCCGCACGATGTTCCCTTCCCAGGCCGTGCTGGCTTCCCACGGCGCCGGGGCCGCGCTCCGGGGCTGATTCACCGGCCCGTGGCAGGAACCTGCTCTTCCACAGGCGTGTCGGGGCACGGGAGCCTCCCCGGGGCTGCTGCGCTGCCCTTGCCGCAGCTCTGCTCTGTTCGACCGCAGAGCTGCCCCTGCCAAGGGCGTGGGGCAGGGACGGGGCTCACCCCAATCCTGCGCTGGGAAAAGGCCCTGGGGCAGGTGGAGACCAGCAAGGGGAGCTGCTGGGGGGGCTGGAGGTATCTGTGGATGTTGGTGAGCTTCCCGAGGTGGGTGAGCTTATCCAGAGCGTGTCTGTGTGAAGGGGAGGATGAAACACCATCCTGGGGGGCAGGAATCCCGCTGGGATGTGCAGGAGGCAGCAGGGGTGTGCAGGAGGCAGCAGGGGTGTGCAGGAGGCAGCAATCCCGCTGGGATGTTCAGGATGCAGCAGGGGTGTCAGGATGCAGCAATCCCGCTGGGATGTGCAGGATGCAGCAATCCCGCTGGGATTCCCCTCCAGGATCCAGCCTTGGCTGCCCCGGTGCCTGCAGGGGCTGCAGCCAGCGCTGTGCCCCGTGGCACGGGCAGGAGCTCTGCTGGCTCTGTGATCCCAACCCTGCCCCTCTCTCCGCAGGGAGAGCTCCCCCTCAACGCCATCCAGGTGCTTTTTGAGGAGAATGACAAAACCTCCTTTTTGATCGAAGGTGGGTGTCCGGCACGGCGGGGGCACAGCCACGGGGGGCTCAGGGGTGTGCGGGGGCACTCGGCCTCCCTGCGCTGCCCCGCTTGGAAATTTGGGATGCTCTGTGTGAGAGCAGCGCCAAGGGCAGAGCGTTCCCAGCACCTCCAGATCCCGTGGGATGCGGGCTGGGATGGAGCAGGGGCACTCCCGAGGGGTCCAGCCCGGCATCAGCAGTGGGGATTGGGGATGTTTTTCCAGGCCGGCTGATCAACTCCATCCGGGTGACCTGTCCCAGCTACCAGGACTACCAGGAGTGGCTCTACTGCCTCAAAACCGCCCAGTTCCGAAACGCCGACTCCTCCCTCTCGGGCTCCGAGAGCTTCTCCGCGGGCTCCAAGCCGCCACACCCCAGCCAGGTAGGGGATGCTGCAGCTTTGGGTGGGAAGCCATGGCTGTCCCACCTCTGTGACACTCCGGTGACACAGCGGGCTCTGCTCGACGCTGCTAATCCCTGGGGATTATTTAAATAATTATTTATTATTTTAAAATTATTTAAATTATTAATACAGGGTATTGTACGGGAAAAAAAGACATTGAATTCCTTCAAAAGCAGAGGCTGGACACAGCCCGTGACAGGGCTGGCAGTGAGGCTCTGGCACGGGGATAGGGATGGGTTTTGGACTCCATGATCCCCGTGGGTCCCTTCCAAACTGGGATATTCTGTGATTCCTGCCAGGAACGGGAGACCCATCTGCCAGCTGGGATGGGGCTGGCTGCCTGGCACCCTTTTCCTGTTGGGCACCCCCTCGTTCCCCTCAGTCCCCCCAAAACCAGCACGTGCCACACCCCAGGCCCAGCCGGCGGGCTGCTGCTGGCCGTGGGCACGGAGCCGGGAGTGCAGGGCTGTGTCCCAGCGTGTCCCTGTCCCCTGCAGCTCCCCAGCAGCGGCAGAGGGTCCCTCAGCTCCGATGGCCGCACCAACTCCTGGGCGTCCGCAGGGAGAGTGACCACGCTGAGCCAGCCCTGCCAGGCCAGCGGCTCCCTGCCCGACGGCCGCCCCTTCCTGCTGGGCCCCCAGGGCCGGCTGCTCCAGGAGCCCCTGTCCCCCGGCTACTCCCAGCCTCTGCACGTAAGTGAACCCCAAAAGCAGCTTGGGCTGCCTCTGGGGATCCCCTGGGGTGCCCCTGGGCCGGGGGGACGCTGCCTTTGCTGCTGGCAGCGTTTGCTGTGGGCTTGGAGCAAATCCCAGCTGCAGCCTGGGCTTGTCCTGGCTCAGCTTGGTCAGGGGAAAGGCTGCTGAGGGATCCCAGTTCCAGTCCCAGTTCCAGTCCCATCCCAGTCCCATCCCAGTCCTAGTTCCAGTCCCATCCCAGTCCTAGCCCCAGTCCCATCCCAGTTCCAGTTCCAGTGCCATCCTAGTTCCAGTTCTAGTTCCATCCCAGTCCCAGTCCCATCCCAGTTCCAGTCCCAGTCCCATCCCAGTTCCAGTCCCATCCCAGTTCTAGTTCCAGTCCCATCCCAGTCCCATCCCAGTTCCAGTTCCAGTCCCATCCCAGTGCTCTGCCCTGTACTGGAGCTTTTGGGGGTTACAAAAGGGCAAACAGGAGGTTCAAAGGCTGGCAAATCCCAAAAGAAAAGCTGCAGGGGGCAGAGGGGATGGCCAGGAGGGGTTTTTGCTCTGCCCCAGTGCAGGAATCACACCCCCAGGGATGGCAGAGCTGTGGGGCAGGAGCTGGGCAGGAGCTGGGCGATTCCCGAGCCCGGAGTGATGCCCACGGGCACTCCCAGCCCGAGGAGAGCCAGCTCCAGGGTCTGTGCTCTCCCTGCAGAGCCTGGCACAGCCCGGCTGGCCCACGCAGGAGCTGCACAGGGGGAACAGCGCCAGGAAATCCAAGGGCAAGAGCAGCGGGCAGCAGCTGCCCAGCCAGGAGCCCGAGAGGGGCGTCTGCAGCCTCATCCCCGAAGGGCCCGCGGGGGAGACGCAGTGCCCGCTGTACCACGAGCCCTGCGCAGCTCCCGGGCCCCAGCAGCACCCCCTGGCACAGCGGGAGCTGGGCAGGGTAAGGACGGGGGCACGGGAGCGGGATGGACTGGGATGGGTGTGGGATGGGCATGTGGGGTGGAGATGGATGTGGGATCAGGATGGATGTGGGATGGGCATGTGGGGTGGAGATGGATGTGGGATCAGGATGGAGGTGGGAGCAGGATGGGTGAGGGATGGATGGGGGATAGGGCTGGATGTGGGATCAGGATGGACGCAGGATGGGGCTGGATGCAGGATGGGGCTGGATCCTCCTGCCTGGCAAAAGCAAGGTTCACCTTTCCCTGTGGGTGCTGCTGGCAGGGACAGGGCCCTGGCAGGTGCTTCAGAGCGGGTGTGGAAGCATTGCCATGGGAAAAGGGGCCGTGGGAGGGAGGCTGCACGTGGCAGATGGAGCAATGCCTCCCAGAGCCCTGGGATGTGGGCACCAGTTCCTGAGGCAACCCGTGAGTAGGCGGCTATTGCCTCATGGGACACAGCCTCCTCTTCCAAGGATTTTCCAGCACGCCTGCATCAGTTTTTTAGTGTGATGCCACTTTCCCAACCCCTCGGTGACTGTTCCTTAAGGAATTCCCCTCCTTGGCGCAGCCCCATCACCCCACATGCATTTGGGACTTTATTTGCAGGGCCATTCCCCACTCCAGCCCCTCCTGCGAGTGCCCTGTCCCTGTTTCCATCCTGCCTTGGGGTTGAACAGACAGAGCTGGATGGGAATTTGGCCCTCAGGAGCTGCCAGCCGCTCCCCCTGTGCACTGACCCCTGCACTCCCAGTTCCCCCAGTGCTCCCAGCTGGCCCTGACTCCACAGCCAGGGAGTCAGGGGCTGTTTCCTTCCCTGCCTTCTGAGGAGGGATGGGAACTCCAGAGCTGCGTTTTGGGCTGGGGAGAGCTCCCTGTTCCCTGCAGGGCAGGGCAGGGCAGGGCCGGCAGCTTCCCCTGCTGATCCCCCCGGAGGAGGCAGGAACCGCCCGACAAAGGCAGGAGCCCAAACTGGAGATGAGTCAGAGCCAGAGCCTGCTCTGGCCACCCCAGAAAATCCCAGCTGCGATAAGGGAGTGCCTGGAAAAGGCCACATTTCTGTCACAATCTGATAGGGAAAGGCTTCCCGAGTCATCCCCACCCTGGGGTGACCCCTTCCCTCCGGGGTCCTCCCTGCGCCCCTGGAGCTGCCTTCATCCCCCCTCCTGCACCGCTGCTGAGTGCCACCCGAGCAGAGCTGGGCAGGGCAGAGCCAGCAACCCCTGCCTGGCCCGGCTGTGCTGCCAGCAGGGCTGCTTTGGGGTGGGCAGCACCGGCTGGGGGGGTGGGCAGCACCAGGAGGGCATTTCCCAGCTCTGCACAGCCAGGGTCCGACCTGGGGCTGGGTTTGGGGTGGGCAGCACCAGGAGGGCATTTCCCCGCTCTCCACAGCCAGGATCCAACCCAGGGCCGGTTTTGTTGCAGTTCCTGCAGTGCCACGGGCAGACAGGACCAGCCCAGGGCCCTGTGCCGGGTCCCCAGCAGCTGTCCCTGGAGCAGTGGCACTGCCAGCCCCTGCCAGGGCACTGCAGGGAGGTGCCCACGGTCCCCATCTACAGCACCCCGGGCACCTCACAGCACCTCCGGCTGCGGGCACCAGCCCAGGGCTCCTACCTGGGGGAGGTGAGGCTGGGAACTCCCCTGTGGGGTGCGGGGGACACTCAGGGGGTGCAGGGGACACTTGGGGGTGCAGGGGACACGCAGGGGGTGCAGGGGACACTCAGAGGGTGTAGGGGACACTCAGGGGGTGTAGGGGACACTCAGGGGGTGCAGGGGACACTTGGGGGTTCAGGGGACACTTGGGGGTTCAGGGGACACTCGGGGGGTGCAGGGGAGCAAACCTGGGGTTCCATCATGCCTGGGTGGTCCCGGCAGGGCTCTGAGCCCTTTGCTCAGCAGGGATGGGGCCGATGTCCCACTGGGCAGTGTCCCAGGCTGGCACAGGCTGGCACAGGCTGGCACTGCTGTGCCACCCTCACGGGCTGTCCCTGTCCCCCCAGATCTCCGCCCTGCCACAGGAACACCTGAGCCCCGAGCTGCATCCCCCAGGTGAGGCCCCTCACCGTCACTGTCACCTGTCCCCTGTCTATGTGCATATATATGTGTGTGTATATATGTATATGTATAAAATTATATATAATCTAGATATAATTATATTTTAATATTATATATTATATACATTACATATAGATATGTATTTATAATAGTAGAAATTATATATTCATATTCATGTGTATATCTATCTATCTATCTATATATATATATATATATATATAAAATTCAAATTGCAAGCATCCCTCCCCGTTTCCCGCAGATGGCACCTATGACCTGCCGGATGGCACCTGTGCCCTGGCAGACGGCTCCTGCTCCTGCTCCTGCCAGGACTCGCTGTCCTACCACGACTACGCCGAGCTGCAGAGCTTCCAGAGCGACCTGAGCTACGACAACCTGTGGGAAGCGGAGGGGAAGGAGCCCCCGCACGTGTTCCAGGTCTGAGGCTGCTCCTGGCACAGGAGCCCGGCTCCTCTCTGCCCTCCGTGGCCTGGCAGCTGCAGGGGCAACCCTGCCCCAGTCCCGGCGTGGGGCCGAGCACAGCAGCCCCAGAGCGCCCCAGTCTCCATGGGCTGGAGGAGCTGCTGAAAAACCCCAAAACCAGCTCTGCCTCCTGAAAATCCCGGAGCGAAAAGGGCCAGGCTCCCTCGGGTGAAGGGGACTCGGTGTTGGGAGGGAGAAACAAAAGGGTGCCTAGGTCAGCTTGGGTTCCTTTGCACCCTCAAAGCTCCTTGGGGGGATCCCCCAGATCAGCCAGAGTGAGCTCCAGAGGCTGGCAGGACCCACAGGGCATCCCCCAGATCATCCAGAGTCTGGCAGGACCCACAGGGCATCCCCCAGATCAGCCAGAGGCTGGCAGGACTCACAGGGCATCCCCCAGATCAGCCAGAGAGAGCTCCAGAGGTGGGCAGGACCCACAGGGCATCCCCCGTCCTGGCAGGGAAAAAACTCCAGCCCCACTGAGCACCGTGGGCTTTTCTTTTCACCTCCTGCCAGTGCTGGCTCCAAAGCTGGTGCCAGCAAAAATTGCCAGGTGATCTCTGCTCCCAGCTCTTCCCTGCAGAGGAAACCCCAAATCCCCCCAAATCAGGGGATCCCTCCTTTCCTCCCAGCCCTGCCCATGCCTGGGCTCGCCCCCAATGCTGCCTGGGGCTGTCCAGGCAAGGAGGGGAGAAAATCCCCCCGGGAGAAACTCCAGAACAGCCAAAGTGACCAGAGCAGTGCCAGGGGGCTGGGGTGTCCCCGGTGTCCCTCTGGGTCCCTGCAGAGCCAGGGCAGGACACAGACAAGGCACAGAGGCTCAGGGTTGTTCTTTTCCAGCCTCTCGGGCCAGGTCCTTTGGAAGGTCAGCAGCAAATCCCAATATTTTCACCTGAGGCTCTGAATTCTTAACCTTTGCTCCCTGCAGAGGCTGCAAACCAAGCACAGCAACAAAACCTCTGCTTTGGTTCTCTCTCTGGTGCAAGCACAACCATTTGTACTTTAATATCTCTGGTTGTTAATGTCGGGTTTTTTCGGGGGTACCCAACAAAGTTTACATGTAAAGGCTGAGTGGGTTCTGAGTATTTAAATGTAAATATGGCTGAGTTGAAGTGCTGTTTAATTTTCTAGCTGTGGCTGGTGTTCAGTTCTGTAAAACACCTTCAGGAGTTTGTGGCTTCGGGTCTTGGAGCTGTTGTTGTTTTCTCTCAGGTTTGCTCTGTTTTGGGGAGGATTTCTATCTGAGAACACCCCAAAGATTGATTTATTCTGAGCTAAACCGTGCTAGGGGACATCCCAAATGTACTGGGAGTGAACACACTGAGGTCACCATCATATTTTAATTGACTTGCAACAGCAATACCTGCAATGATCAGAGGGGGAGATCCCCTTCCTGTTGATATTAAAGTTCCCCGTGGATTTCTGTGAGACTGGACAATCCCTGAGTGTGCCCAGGAGGATTTCCACACTCCGGAGTGTGCCCAGGAGGATTTCCACACTCCTAAGTGTGCCCAGGAGGATTTCCAGACTCCTGAGTGTGCCCAGGAGGATTTCCAGGCTCCTGAGTGTGCCCAGGAGGATTTCCAGGCTCCTGAGTGTGCCCAGCTCGGGTCAGGCTCCTGTTATCCCTTCATCCTTGGCCAAAGTCTCCCCAGGCCTTGTCAGGACCTGGGATTGGGTTTTCCCTATTTGGGTGCTGGTCCAGGTTTTGGCTGGTTTTTTGCTGGCCAGTTTGTGGCTGGGAAAACTCCCCCTGCTCCTGCTTTTCCTCCAACACATTTCTCAGCAGACTCAGGGTTTAAAAACTGGTTTCTTTGGAGCAGCATCAGAGCTGTCTGGGCTGCACTGAGATGGAAATCGGTACCTGCAAACACACAAAAACCTCTGAGCCCATCCTTCCCCTGGCCGCAGCGGGAATCTTGGATTTCTCTGCTCTCTGATTTTTAAACATCAATTCCAAATTGTTTTTCCCCTCAAAGAATAAACAGCGAAATGTAGGGGGGAAAAATCATTAGAAAGTGAAGTTTGCAACCTGCTCCTTTGGCTTTGGGAGCTGGGAGACATTCCCTGCGAGACAACACAAAAAATCGATGTTTTGCTGTGTTTTTATTATCTTTATGGAGACATTTGAGAGCCAAAGTCTGGGGAGGAGCCGCCCCTCCGTTCCCGAGGGTGTTCGGATCCGCTGCGGGCTCTGATGGAACTCCCCGGGTGCCCTGCGGGTGGGAGGATCCAAAATGTGCGAGGCCGGAGCAATTGGAGCTTCTGCCACCTCTGCGGGGCTGGCACAGCACCAACCCCAGAGCCCCTCTGGAGGGCGCCGAAAATTCCCCAGGAATTCCCACGGGAAGCTCTGCTCCGGTTTCAGCAGCGAGAGGTGAAGGGAAGGTCAGAGGGAAGGAAAAATCCGAGTGAAGAAAAATCCGAGTGAAGAAAAAATCTGACTGAAAACACTCCTGGTGTATGGCCTGCTCCAGGGACAGGACCGGGACAGGACAGGGACAGGAATGGGACAGGACGGGGACAGGGCTGTGTGCTGGCACCTGGGCCCTGGATCTGATCCCCTGGCCCTGGACACCTGCCCTGCTGCAGAGGGACAGGGGGGACAGGGGGGACACTGGGGACAGGGGGGACAGGGGGGACACTGGGGACAGGGAGCACAGTGACTCCTGGCAGCCCCTGAGCCGCTCCAGCAGGGAAAGGCTCGGTACCCCCGATTTTTCCCCCTCCAGAGGGGGAACAGCCCACTGCCCCCACGCCTGTACCCCGGTGCAGCTCCCAGGAGAGCTGGGTGCTCTGGGGGTGACAGGGGGTGCCTGTCACCCTTTGCTGTCTGATTTTTGGTGTGTGGCCCTGCAGAGCCGGGCCCGGGAGGTGCCAGCAGGACTTGGCAGCAGAGAGGTGCCAGCAGGGCACAGGTGCCCTCCACGCTGCCGTGACTGCCCTGGAAGGAAGGAGAGCGTGGCATGAATATTTCAGGAGCTGGAGGCTCTCAGCTGGCTGCAGGAGCGGAAGGAATTACTGAAAGGTCCTGCTGGTCTCGGGGGACCTGGCAGCCTCTGCCCCGCTCCGCCTCAGCGGAGCAGCCTGAAATTTTAATGCTCGGATTATTCTCTGACCTTTCCAGCTCTCTCCTCCGCCCCACAGCGAGGCCAAGCGCGCCTGGGATTTTTTGTCTGCGGCCAAAATGGAGATTAAACCTCTCAAATTCAATATACCCAAGGATTTCTCCTGGCCAAAAGCTGCCAGGACCGAGGGGTTTTGCCCTCCCGCGGGCAGCCAGGACCTCGCAGCTTGCCCGGGCCTGGGCACGGTGCCACCGGCCCTGCCACCCCTGCCCCGCTGTGCCCGCACGTCGCTCCCTCAGCTGACCCCCGGCAGTGCCAGGCACATGAAAAAGTCAGGCAGGTGCGGCCGAGAGCTGCGGGTTCCATCCCTGCCCGCTCTGTCCCCAGGGCTCCAAACCCTGCCCCGTGCCCTGCCTGCTCTGTCCCCAGGGCTCCAAACCTGTCACTGCCCCGTGCCCTGCCTGCTCTGTCCCCAGGGCTCCAAACCCGTCAGCTCCTGCAGCTCTGGCCCCACAGACCCACACGGGGCAGTGATTTATCCTCCTGCAAAGCCCGGGGCTCCTCTAACAGCTCCCCACAGACAGAGGGATGGACAGAGGTAGTAAATGAGACAGAACTTTATTAGAAGCTTCCAGCACGTTCCATCCGCTCTCCTCCTCCCAGCAGCCCTCCCAGGGGGTGTCCAGCTGCTCCAGGCCATGCAGAGCCTGTCCAGCTCCAGCTCCAGCTCCCAGACCTCGCTGTGCCCTCCTGTCAGCAACAACCCCCGGCCCCCAGCCCACCCTGCACCCCTCAGAGCCTGGTGGCACTCCCGGCACAAGGAGGGGAACCTCCCCTCTCTGCTGTCACCGCACAGACACAGGGCAGAGCCCCCGCGGGGCTCAGTCCCGCACCGGGGCTGTCACCGGGCTGTGCGGGGAGCAAATTCCTCCTGGGCGATGCCCTGGAGTGGGGAGGGAGGCACAACGGAACCATTCCATGCCATGCCACTCCCCAGCCCCACAGCTTCCACGCTCCCCTCACCCCACGGCTCCCCCAGGCACTTTTGCCTCTCTAGGACGGGAGGCACAAAAGGAAATAAATCAAATACTCAGTCAAACGTTTCCCTGCTGATTGGCACAGCCAAACCTGCCCACCTCCTTCTCCCTCCTCTCCAACATCCTCCTGTCCTCTTTCCTGAGACTTCCCCGAGCTCAGCCCCTCTCCCTGCTGCCCTTCCCACCCTGTGGGACCCTCCCCGGCTGCCCCTTCCCCGGTGCGACCCCTGCCCGTCCCCTCCTGCTGTCCCCAGGGACAGAGCCGTGGACAGAAAACTCATCCCCGCGCTGCTGCCACCGAGCCGGGCCTTTTTGGGCTGAAATCCCAGAGATTGAGCTCTCCTGGAGCGATCCGAGCGGCGACGGGAGCGCCGGGCTCCGCCGAGGCAGCGGCCCCGCATCCCCCGGAGCCTCAGCCGGGCTCTTCCCGCAGCTCCTCCGCAGCCATCCCGGCCCTTTTATCGGGATGAACGTGCCCTGCTTCCTCTGCGCCTCCCTCCCGTGCCACCGGGCACTCCGGCGGCGGGCAGGGAGCGGCGGGGCAGCCACCGGGCAGGGACGAGCCAGCCCTGCCCGTCCTACCGTCCGCTCGCATCGCCGGGAGGGTCCCGCTGCCCGTGCCGGCCTGTCCCGCCGGGGCCGGGGCCGGGGCCGGGGGAGCTCTCGGCGATGGCTCCCGGCTCCTCCCGCTGTCCGGAGCAAAGCCCCGGCCCCGGCAGCGGCTCCGGCGGGGCCGGGGTTAAGTCCGGGGGTGCCCTTCCCTGACCTGCCTTCGGAAGTAGCGGATGGCCGAGAGGGTGCCGAAGCTCGCCAGGAACACTGGAAAAGAGACCAGAACGTTCCCACCGTCACTGCGGGTGCTCCCCCAGCCCGGGGTCCCAAACTGCTCCGTGGGACACGGGGGGGTCGCTGCCCTCCCTCCCCAGCGCCCTCCCGCCCTCGCTGGGCATTCCCAGCGCTCGGAATCTGCTCCACAGCCCGAGCGGCCACGGCCAGGCCCGGGGTTTGGGCATGGGGATGCCACCAGTCCTAAAAAAGGGCCCCTTTGAGGGAAATGCTCAGCAGGCTCCATCCAGGGCAGGAATGGGAATGCTGCTCTGGAAGGGCTCTCCAGGCTCCATCCAGGGCAGGAATGGGAATGCTGCTCTGGAAGGGCTCTCCAGGCTCCATCCAGGGCAGGAATAGGGAATGCTGCTCTCCCTCCTCATCCAGCCATCCCCACTCCTGTGGAATTCTGTGAATTTCTGTTTCCTCAGCTTCCTTTTCCTCACCAGCTTCGAGCGCTGGGCTTGGAGAGGGGAGAATCCCACACATCTCCAGGGAATTGCAGGACTCAGTGCAGGAGGATGATGACTCCTCTTTGGGGAGAAGGTTAAACCTTCCGAGCACATCAGAAAAACATGGGAATTTTGGTGCTGGATGAAGGTTTAGTCTCAGCTTTGGCCGTGGACAAAAAACCCCAGGCACGCTTGGCCTTGGTGTGAGAATTTTGTCGGGAATTTTGCTCCTGCTGGGATGAGGGAATCTAAACCTGCTCTCTGCAGGTCCTGACAAACTGAGCCCTGCCAGGGGCTGGATGGAGCAGGACCAGGCTCAGCTCCAGCCAGCAGCTGCTTTGCAGGGAAAACAGCAAAGCCGTGAGCAGGAATCGGGATCAGAGGAGAGAGAAGGCTCGGAAAGAGCTTTGGAACAGCAGAAAGAGGCTGCACCTCCCCACGGGCACTGCAGGTATAAATATCCCATTTTTCCTCCCTGCCAAGCGTCCCCAGAGCCCTTCCCAGCCCTCTCCGGGCGGGCACTGTACGTACTGGTCTTCCAGGCATCCGGAGCCTGCAGGTCAGATGTCTTCACGGCCCAGGAGGCGAAGGCGCAGAAGACGAGGCACATGTCCTTGTGGCTCAGCAGCCGCGGGTCCTCTGCTGCTCCTGCCACGAGAGGAGCACGAGCTCTGGGGGCTCTGTGCCACCCCTGCCACCCCTGCCCTCCCTCAGCACAGCAAACCCCCGGGGAAATCACCCCTGAAAGCGCTCTGGCACCAGAGGTGACATCGAAGGCGTCTGTTCGGGGCTCTGTGCACTCTCAAAAGACAGTGGCACATTTGTCACCCCCCTCAGGTTTACACTTCGTTAAAAACCCCAAGGAAATGTTTGTTAAACCACCCCAGGCTGCCTCACCGCCTCCCTGCAGATCTCCCCAGCTCTCTGTGGCGGCTGGAATTGGGTCTGGGGAGCAGCTCTGGGACAGAGCAATTGCTGGGGACACAGGCCAGCTCCCTTCCTGTCACCCGTGTCCCCAGGCACACCCAGCTCCAGGACAGCGCCTGACAGTGCTCAGCATCCTCCGGGCATCCCACCCCTCTCCTGCCTCCCCCGGGATGAAGAGATCCCTGCATTCCCTGCTCCAGACTGCACAGCTGGACACCAGGTGCTTTTGGCTCCTATTCATTTGATCAGGCTTTTAATTAAAGCTGGCTCATTAATTAGCCGTGACCACCTCAAAGGGGTTTTTCTCTGTGCAAACAGACTGGAAGCTCGTTGAGGCTCCCTTTGGGATGGCTCCCTCATTGTTTGGGTTTAATATTAACTCTGAGGCTCTGAGCATCATTTAAGCTCAAAGACAAAGCCCTGCCTGTGCTGGTGGATCAAACCTCCCCTGTGTCCCCATCTCTCTCACCTGCCCCAGGAACAGGCACTGTTCAGGTGACCTCTGAGGTCTCCAGAGGCTGTTTTTCTGCTCAGGGTGGGTTTTACAGTCCCACACTCCCTGTCCATGCTGGGGGACCTGGCCAGCAGCACTGGCTTGGCACAGGGACAGAGGGAACATCCCAAGGGAGAAGCCCAGGGGACAGAGGGAGCATCCCAAAGGACAGCCAGGGGGACACAGCCTGGGACATGTCCCTGCAGGGGACACAGGATTTCTTTACCTCTCAGGGCCCCGTCTGCATCTTCTGGCCACACCTGGGCTCCTCCCAGCGGGACCAGGGCCAGCTCCTCTCCGGATCTTCTGGGCACCAGGGCCTGGGAGGTCGAGGCTTGGTCTCCCCCCAGCTGGACCTGCCTCTGCAGCAGGGAGCTCAAAGCCCTCACAGCTTTCTTCACCTCGGAGGCCGGAGCCGTGGAGAAAATCCCCCTCCAGCCCATCCTGCTGGGGGCTGTCTGTGGGAGGAAGCGTTCGAACACGTCAGGGACTGAGAGAAGCACGGTGTCCTTGCCTGGAGCAGAGCTGGGAGCCTCCTGGTGCAGCCCAGGGCGCTCCAGGCCTCTGAACTTCCTCCTTTTCCTGTCTTTAGCTTTGCCTTTTTTCCTGCCTCCTTCTGGCTCGGTGAAAAAATACTCGTACAGTTCTGGCCAGGAGATCTCCCTCTGCAAGGGGGACTTGCGGCCCTCCAGGGAGCTGCCCAGCTCCTCCTCCTCCTGGGAATCGCAGAACAGGTACTCGTACATCTCGGGCCAGGTCACATCCAGGCAGCTGGGCTTGCCAGGGGCCCCGTCAGCAAAGCACAGCGGGCTCACGGCCCTGGGCAGCTCGGCCACAGCTTCCCGAGGGGTCCTGGATGCAGGAATCGTGGGGATCCCAACGGCAGGAATTGTGGGGATCCCGACTGCAGGAATCGTGGGGATCCCGGGCACAGGAATAGCGGGGATCCCACCTAAAGGCTCACACGGGATCTCAATGGCAGGGATCCTGGGGATCTCAGCTGCAGGGATCCTGGGGATCTCAATGGCAGGGATCCTGGGGATCCCAGCTGCAGGAATTGTGGGGATATCAGCTGCAGGCTCACATGGGATCTCAATTGCAGGGATCCTGGGGAATTCAGCTGCAGGAATCCTGGGGATGCCTGTTGCAGGCTCCCAAGGGATCCCCAGTGTAGGACTCTTGGGGATCCCAGCTGCAGGAGTCCTGGGGATCCCAGCTGCAGGCTCCCAAGGGATTTCGGGTACAGGTTTCCTGGGAATCGCAGCTGCAGGCTTCCAAGGGATCCCAGCTGCAGGAACCTCAGGGGTCTCTGAGGGCTTCCTGGGAATCTCAAATGCAGACTTCCTGGGAATCTCAGCAGCAGACTTCCTGGGCATCTCAGCAGCAGCAATTCCAGGGATCTCAGCAGCAGCAATTCCAGGGATCTCAGCAGCAGCAATTCCAGGGATCTCTGAGGGTTTCCTGGAGGTCTCAGCAGCAGCAATTCCAGGGATCTCAGGAGCAGCAATTCCAGGGATCCCAGCAGCAGCAATTCCAGGGATCTCAGCAGCAGGCTCCCCCCCAGCCCCCTCAGCAGCATTCCCTCCGAACGCTGCCACGTTCCCGGGCTGGAGTGGCTTCCCTGGCATCTCCTGGCTCACCTCTCCTGGGGGAGCCGCGGCTCCGTCGCCAGGGACCGCTGGGACAGTGTCACGTACGCCCAAGCCAGCGGCCTGCCCGGCCTTTGGGGGCTTGGTGGCCTTTGTCTTCCCCGGGCCCTGCGGCCCCGGCTCCTTCCCCCGGGGCTTCGGGGGAGCGGCCCCGGCATCGCCGCCGTCCGCGCCGGGCCCGGGCAGCGCCCGCTTGTTCTCCGCCGCCTCCTCGCTGCCCGCCCTCGCCAGCGCTGCCTTGGCCGCCTTGTCCTTCCCTCTGCCCTTCCGAGGGGCCACCGGGGAGCCCGGAGGTGCCTTCCCGGCCCCGGTGCCGCCCGGCGCCGCGGCCGCCGCGGGGTCCCGGTCCCCCTCGGTGCCGCCGGTTCCGCGCTGCTTGCGGCTCTTCCTGGGCTGCACCGGCACCTTGGGCCTCACCACGCCCGGGGATCCGCCCGGGGAGCTCGGCTCCGCGCCCGTCTGCTCCTCCTCCGGTGCCACGCCGGGCCCCGTGCCCCGGGACGGGCTCGGGGGGTCCCCGGCGGGTCCCCGCAGCCCGGGCTCGGCGGGGGCAGCGCTTTTCCCGGCCGGTCCCTCCGCGGGGGCAGCGGCTGCTGCAGCCTCCGGCCGTGCCCCCGCTCCCGGTTCTGCCGGCGGGGCTTGTGTCCCCGCCGCGTCCCCGCCCCGCTCGGGGGCTCCGGGGGGCTCCGCGGCCCCGCTGCCCCCGGGCACCGTGCCACCGGCCGGGGCGGCCGCGGGTGGCCGCGGTGGCTGCCTGCGCTGGGCGCTGGGCATGGCAGCGGCTGCCTGGCGGCCGGGCTGCTCGCTGTGGCACAGCAGCGTGCCCGCAGAGCCCCGCTGCGCTTCGTCCTCGCTGCCCGCCAGCGGCTCCGGCAGCGAGCGCTGCCCGCGGCCGGCGGTGTCGCCGGTGTCACCACGAGGGGCAGGGCTGGCGGTGTCGCCGGTGTCACCACGAGGGGCAGGGCTGGCCGTGCCCGGGGCTGGCTCGGTGCCCGGCCGCGCTGCGGGCACGCCGGCCGTGCCGCGGGGACAGTCCCGTCCCCGGGTGTCCCCTGGCTCAATGTCACTGAGGCTCTGCTCCTCGGCCGTGGCCAGCGAGGCCGGCGCCAGGCTGCACTCCTCGGCCGCCCGCAGGAACTCGGCCCATTCGCGCTCGTTCAGCTGGATGCTGTACTCGAAGTTATCCATGCCTGCGCAGGGAGCGGCCACACATCAGGCACGGGGGGAGGCCAGCTGTGTGCCCCCGGCCCTTCCTCCCACGTCCTCCCTTCCATCTGCTCATCCTCGCCCGTTTCCAGCTGGAAATCCCAGCCCCCGGCGACCTCAGCAGGATGGGGATGGCTGCGCTGACCATCAGCCAGCAGTGGGAGAAGCCACGGCCACCCCCTGGCCACCCCCTCCGGTCCCCGCTGCTTCTGCTCCCCAGCACGGCAGCACTGCGGCTTTGGGATTGTCCCCAGAGCTGCACTGGGGCTTTGGGATTGTCCCCAGGGCTGCACTGGGGCTTTGGGATTGTCCCCAGGGCAGCACTGCGGCTTTGGGATTGTCCCCAGAGCTGCACTGGGGCTTTGGGATTGTCCCCAGGGCTGCACAGGGGCTTTGGGATTATCCTCAGGGTTGCAAAGAAGGTTTGGGATTCTCTCCACAGCAGCATCACACCCCACACCCCCCTTTCGTACCCGTTTTGCCTACAAGCCACCCTAAACCCGGCAGGGATGTTCCCGAGCATTGCCGAGCCCCGAGCACCCCGGGCGTGCCCGCAGGGCCTGGCAGCAGCACAGCCCGGGGGTGACAAAGGCCCGGGAGGTGACAAAGGCCGTCCTACCTGTCCCCCAGCCCCGGGCGGGGATGGAGCCATTCGAGGAGCCCCGCAGGAGAGCCCTCCCAGCACAACATGATGCCGTCCCCTGGCCGGGGGCAGTGCCCGGCTCCAGCTCAGATCCATTCAGGGGCTAAAAATAGACCCCCCCTCCCTCCCCGCTGTCACTTGAGATCCCAGTGCCACCGGCTGGAGAGGGCAGCCCATATATAGAACTGTGGGGGACGTGCCAGGGTGGCACCCACGTGTGACTGCGCCACAGCCACGTCTGGGGGCACCGGGAGCACCCCCGGTGGCCCTGCTCCCTTCTGGGGTCGCTCCACGGGGAAGGGGACAGGCCACGGAGCTGCCAGCCTTTGGCACACCTGGGTGGCAGTGACTGTCCCTTTTCCCACGGAGCCGCTTCTTTGCCTCAGCCGCCCTCTCCAGGGTGACACCAAATCCCCTCGGGGCAGGGGTCACCTATTTAGGGCGCTGCCGGCGCGTTTCCTGCCGGCCATCAGGAGGTCACGGCCACCACCACGATCTTGTGACAAACCTGGCTGGCCCTGTGGCACCCAGGGCCACCCGGGCCACGCGCTGGGCAGCCTTGGGCAGCGGGCTCGGGGGGAGCTGGCAGGGGGAGCGGCCGAGGGTGGCCTGGCAGGTCACGAAGCCGAGCCAGAAATAACCCTCAGCTCCCACGAGCCCCGAGCCTTCCTCCCACCTTCCTCCTCCTCCTCCCCGTCCTGTCCCGGGGCCAGAAATAGCAGCGCTGAAGGAGCTGCCCGCAGGACGGGGGCTGGGAGAGCGACCCCGAACCCACCCCGCTGCCCCCAGCGCTGCCCCGAGCTCCGGCCACCCCTCGGCCACCAGGACATGGCCCTGGCCAGGGCTGTGCACCCCCGAGGGTCCCACAAGGGCTGGGACCCCTGCACCCCCGAGGGTCCCACAAGGGCTGGGACCCCTGCACCCCCCGAGGGTCCCACAAGGGCTGGGACCCCTGCACCCCCCGAGGGTCCCACAAGGGCTGGGACCCCCGCACCCCCCGAGGGTCCCACAAGGGCTGGGACCCCCGCACCCCCGGGGGTCCCACAGAGCCCCGCAGCAGCCGCAGGAAATCCCGCCCGGGACACGCAGCCCCGGTCCGGCCCAGGACAGCCGGGAGGAAGAGCTGCTCCTCCTCCCCAGCCCGTCCCGACCTGCCCCATTCCCCTCGCATGCCCGAGGGGAAACCGAGCGGTTTCCTCGTCTTGGCTCAGCCGACTTCCTTCCCTTTGAGCCGGGCCTGAGCCAGGGAAACCCTTAAACTCAGGAACCCCTAAACTCGGAAACCCCTAAACTCAGAAACCCTTAAACTCAGGAACCCTTAAAGTCAGCAACCTTTAAACTCAGAAACCTTTAAACTCAGGAACCCTTAAAGTCAGCAACCTTTAAACTCAGAAACCTTTAAACTCAGGAACCCCTAAACTCGGCCTGCAAAGCAGCAGGGAGCAGGGAGGGAGCAGAGGCAGCCGCCAGGGCTGGCAGCCAGAGGCACACGGATGCTGGGATGGAGCTGGGATGATTTTGGATGATTCTGAATGATTCTGGAATGCTGGGGTGGTGCTGAGATGATTCTGGGATGCTGGGATAGTGCTGGGATGATTCTGGGATGCTGCAGGGCTGCTCCAGCCCCATCCTGTGGATGGCACCCAGCACCTCCAGGACGGACGCTGTGGGAGTGAGGACGTGATATAAATAACCAATGTCAACCTGTCACCAGAGAAAGGCCCGAAATAAAGCAGCAGATGTGGCCCCCCCGTGCCTGGCGGGGCTCAGCGTGGGAGACACAGCCAGGATCAAGGGCAGGGAAAGGGCAGGAAAAGTGGGAATGCCGTGGAGGGCACTTCCCCTGGGATAGAGACACCTCCAGGCTCAGCACTGCCCACCCCCACTGTAAGGGAACCTCAGTGTCTGGGAAAGGAGCTCTCAGGAACGGAATAATTGGAATATTCTCAATATGGAATAATTGGAATAATTCCCTTCCTACCCAAGAAACTCCATTGGGGAAAGTTCTACCTTTGTGCAGCTTTCCAAAGCAGCACTGAAAACATCACGAGTGTGGGGGCTTGGCTGAATTCCCTGTGAGACAGCCCAGACAATGCAGAGAAATGTGGGTTTGATTAGGAAGATCCTCCCTGCCCTGATCTACACCCATCACATGCTGTGCAGCAGGGCAGGAAGGGAGAGATTGCAGGAAAAGCAGTGGGGAATAAAAAAATAAAGCAGAATGGAAAAAGAAATGTGTCCACAGCTTCAGGAGCAAGACAGCCTTGGCCCTCCGGGTTCTTTTCCAGCTCGCAGGAAAATGTTTTCCCCCGAGCCCGGCAGGATCAGGGTTTCACCCGGGCGCTCCTTTTCCTGCCGTTTCCACTAGATGTCACTTCCAGCCACCAAGTCAGAGCTTCCCCGGGATTTTTCACCTCCTCACGGGCGGCTCAGATGCTGTGGAGCGGGTCTGTGGGAATCCCAAAAGCAGGGGCTGGGGTGTGCGGGACGGGGAGGGGTTGGGGGGATCTCCCGAGCATCCAGCCAGGGCGGAGGAGGGAAAATCCCGGTTCCAGCAGGGCAGGGCGGTGCCGGCGCTGCCTCGGGCCTGCTGGGAACGGTGAGGGCTCAGGGATGCTCAGGGATGGTCAGTGGTGCTCAGGGATGCTCAGGGATGGTCAGAGATGCACGGTGATGCTCAGGGATGGTCAGGGATGGTCAGAGATGCTCAGGGATGGTCAGGGATGGTCAGGGATGGTCAGGGATGCACGGGGATGCTCAGGGATGATCAGGGATGCTCAGGGATGGTCAGGGATGCTCAGGGATGCTCAGGGATGCTCAGGGATGGTCAGGGATGCACAGGGAGGTCACGCCGTTCCCTGATCCCGAAATCCGACGCTCCCCTGGGAAGAACAACTCCGCTCTGAGCAGAGCTTCCTTTGAATTGTTCCCACATTTGGAACACAAACCCCACAGAGGGTCCCAGGCAGCCCTGGTCTCTCAGGTTGGGGTTTTTGCAGAGGTTTCTGAGCAGAGCTGGGATTGCAGCGGGTGGAACGAGTCGGGATTGTTCATTCCGGTGCCTCAGGGGGCTCCCAGCAGCCGGGGCAGAGCAGCAAAGGGGGAAATCCAGAGCTGGGAGAAATCCTGGAATCCTGGAACGGTTTGGGCTGGAAAAAGGCTCAGTCCCACCCTCTGCCATGGGTAGGGACAACTTCCACTGGCCCAGGCTGCTCCAGCCCCTCCAACCCGGCCTTGGGCACTGCCAGGGATGGGCAGAGCCATGCCAGGGATGGGGCAGAGCCGTGCCAGGGATGGGCAGAGCCGTGCCAGGGCCTCCCCACCCAACATTTCTCCCAAAATTCTTCCTTTTCCAGGCCAAGTGCCGTGTCTCCCTGTCGGTTCCCCAGCCCCACGTTTCCAGAGCCCTGCTGGCAGCGTGGGCAGGGCAGCAGCCCGGGCTGGGCTCATCAGCTCCGGGTAATTAATTGGCCAGGCAGTGCCTGGAGCCAGCGAGGGGCTGCTGGAAAGGGGCTGGGGCTGCTCCCGCACCTTTTTTATTCCTCCCCCGGGGCAGAGAGGCTCCGAAACTGCCGGCATGGGAGCAGGGCTCCCCCGCTCTGGCATCTTAACAAGAAGCAGCTGCTGGAGGCAGCCCGAGGAGCCGCAAGGAAAAGGCCCCGCTGCATTAATTAAAGGTCACGGGGCCATTCCAGAGGCTTCCCAATTACCTCTGGAAGAGTGTGGCTAATGCGAGATAATGATGTCATCCAGCCACTAATGAGGCAGGTTATCCAAACCCCGGCCCCCTCCCTGCCTGGATCTCTGGGATGAGCCCGAGGGAAAAGGGCGAAAAGGGCTCTTCCCTCCCCACCTCTTCCTTGAGCAGGCTGGATAAGGGAGCCAGAGGAGAGGCCACGGCCCTCGGGGAGGTTTTTGTGCGAGGAGCAGCTCGGCAAGGCCCCGTCCCCTCTGGAACTGCCCCTGGCAACACGATGTTGTGGGGCGCTGGCCCCGCTGCTCGGTGCCCCATTAGCGCTCCTTAATGACCGGGATTGGAACTGGAAATCTGCTCCTGCCCTGCAAGGACCCAGCCCTTCTCCCCGCTGGATCTTCTCTCAGCATCCCTCAGGGCGGGAAGAGAAGTGTCTGGGGCTGCGGGACACAAAATCCCCCGGGATGAGCAGCAGCAGGAGGTGACCCGCAGCGAGGAGCTGCAGTTCCCGGGATAAACCGCAGTGACCCTTCCCGGAGGAGCTGCCGGGCCCAGAGCCGACCCAGAGCCAAAAAATGGGAGTTTTTGGGAGCAGGAGCTGCCGAGCCCAGAGCGGACCCAGAGCCAAAAAATGGGAGTTTTTGGGAGCAGGAGCTGCCGGCTGCGACTCCTCAGCTCTGGGAACAGACAGCAGATGACCGGGCTGAGGCCGGGGAGGAGGAGGAGGAGGAGGAGGAGGAGGAGGAGAAGGAGGAGGACAGGGCACGCACGGCAGCAGCAGAAGTTGGCAGGGAGAGTGAGAGGGAGGAGATGAAAAGGCCGAGAGGGCAGGGCCGGGGCAGAGGTGCAGCAGGGATTTCCAGGGAGGCTGCCAGGGACAGGAGGGCACGGCCTGGCTGATAAGGAGCAGAAAGGCTGATAAGGAGCTCTCTGCCCAGCAGGATCCCGTGAATTTCCAGCAGCCGAGGGTGGGGAGTTGTCCCCCTGCCAGCACGGTGACATCTGCTGCAGGAATTCTGCTCCCCCAGGCTGGGTGGGATTTTTCCAGGCGCTCACGGATCAGGCTAAATCAACAACATCTCCGGACCTGCAGCAGAGGAAGAGGCTGGGGAGGGCTGGAGCGCTAAAGCCTGACCTTTGCTAATCCCCAGGCAATCGCTGCAGGCGAGGAGCTGCTGCAGGCGCTGGCAGACTTTGCTCTCCCCACGGGCAGCGATTTGAGCCTTTGCTCCGGGAGCCGGAGCTGCTCCCGGGTGATCCCAGCGCTGCCTGGCCGCGGGGTTGGGCATTCCCGGGAAGCTGGATGTGCCTCAGGAGCCCTCCCGAGAGCAGCAGCACCTCCCTTTGCTGACTTCTCCGTTTCTAAAAATGGGGAGAACGAGGCTGGGGCCTTGGAGATGTTGCTATAAAAAACAATCC